TGGAATAGTCTCACCGGATTCAGGAAACCGTAGACGGTTATAGGCATAGTCCTCTATTGATAGCCTATAATGATAGCATGGTTTATCCCTCGCCTTTCCTCCTAACTCATATGACTGAACTAACTGCTTCTCGAAGCTGAGAATGGTATGTTTGCAGCTGAACCATGAGATACATCTTCCTGAATGCTCCAAACGGTAGTGTGATACTCGAGAGATGGTTGCCCCTTCGAGGAGATGTGTCTCTCGACATCGATCTCAAATTGCCACTTTCTTTGAAAGTAAGAGGGTTGATTTGCTAGATTATACAACCTCCAAAGAGAAGACCATAACAAATAGAATTAGTAGAGACTGAATTGTAAAACTTTGAAATCTATTAAGTTTTGCTCAACCGGACGCGGATTTTTGCCACCAGCGTTCAGGTGTTGTTGTTAATTGGCCATCGACCTCAAGGCGCCGCTCGGCCCTTCTTATTTTGCCAAATTTGAGGAGAAACTTATCTTCATTGGCACATTCGCCAATTGGTTCGTGTCGACACAAAGAGTTGAAGTCCGCCAGTTTCGATGACTTCTTGATTTCTTGATTCTTGTTGTTATCTGTCGCACGATCTTGAACCCCAGAAGTAGAGGATTGTAGCTGTCTTTTGTCAAAAGAACTCGAGTAACAAATTAGTAGTAGTGAGGCCAATTACATAATATCGAGAAACATGGTTGATTAGCTGCAACACTTTGATCATCATAAAATAATTATAATGAAGCAATGACTACTGATGTGCATTAAGATATCTGTATGGCATGTATTCCCCCCAAAAGATTAAAAATGAAAATTCCCTTTTAAGATAAAGAGTTTATGTGTAGGCATCACATCATGGGGTACGTTTGACTTAGAATTTGAATGTGCTATCAAATTTTCCGAGGGGACTTTAAACAATATTTTAAGCATGCTTGCAAGTTAAAAATAAACAAGCGATTGTATGTTAAGCAAATGTTTATGTTAAGCAAATAACCGTTGAGACATGTCAAACATGTATAATTCCCAAATATATGTGCCAAACCGAGACCTGGGTCCCCTAGTAAGTATCTCGATCGAAGATTTCTTGCTAAGAACCACACATGCCATGCTAGAATTAGTACAAGATATGTAGCTTTGTAAAAATCATGCTAACAATTGGTTTTGTACTTGTGTACGAAGTGCAGGTGAATATATATCATGCACAAAGTTAAGTGATTAAATCAATTTGGTATTTAGTGCCGACCAAAAAATTCACTAGGACAACATAAGGCCTTCTATATTTATATAGAGTGCATAAAAGCATGTGTATTGAGGTGTGAAAACATAAACGACATGTCCAACCTAGGAATCACGACACATAATTGGAGCAATTAATCAAGAAAATAAAAGTTTGTAGATAGAATAATCTGACCGAGTTATCGTTGAGATGGTGGGAACTACCCATATTTGCAGTTGCCGCATGGGTCAAATTGACCGCAATGGTGCTGTTCAATGACGCAAGGAAATTTTTCGAAAAGGAAACTGTACTACTTCCTCCAAAACCAAGGGCAACCTCCTGGACTCGACGATTATGCTAACCAAGCATCGTATTAAAAAGGGTTTTGGGAAGATCATTCTTCCGTCTTTTGTAATCCATGATTGGAACCTTCTTTAGAAGAGAATTTGTTGAAGGGAAAGACTAATCGTAAAAAATTATGGATGATCACAATAGAATAATAATGCTCAAATATGGAATTAAGAAACCCACGCCAATAGATGCAACATATAAATAAGATATTCGGGTAACCACGATCCATGGCATAGAATCAAAGGAATCCACAAGAGGCAAAAGAATAGTAACATTAATTTACCATCACACTATTATCATGTAACTAAATCACAATATTTTCATAGATAGAGGGGACTAACTAAACAGGTACATGTATTTACATCATGACAGGAATAGCTAGCACGCGTATGTGTTGGTAAGCTTTGTTCAAACCTTACTAAGATTAATAATATCACAATGTTTCAAGAGAACACAATGTCATTTATGCTCTTCCCCAAAAACAATGAGACCCTAATATTGTGCACGAGGGCCATAAATAATGGAACCATATTATGATGGTGTTGATAGCAATTAACAATAAGATCATGAAAAGACTTTACTAAATTATGTTAAGATTTCACCAAATTATTGCCCTCCTACGGCAACATGTATTGCTCGAGATTCATGTGCCAAGAATCCATCAAAGATATATGAATATCTAATATGCGTACTGGCGCAAAAATTTAGTGAATTGTTCAATAATGCCTTACTGCTCCAAGGTTAAGACCGAAAAGGTTTTTCAAATAAGCCATGATCTTATACGCCATGAAAATTATAACTGTAATATAAAAACTTAAAAGCTGGCGCCCAAGGAATATTAGTTCACCCTAACACGGATGTTTCACGTTTGAGGTAAAGCCACGAATGGAGGTGTTATCAAATTTTTAAAACTAGTATATTCCCAGTGTCACGCATGTAATCGTGTGTAAAGGCTATAATAACTAGACCAAACTTTTGTTCCTTAGGCTAATTATGCTAAGTATAAACTGCAATATTGAGCACCAGATTTCCACTGGATTCCGCAGGTAGTATATTTCAAGTATGCATGATAATAACAACTTGATGATATCAAAGTATTGCTTAATTCAGAACGCAAAACGTGGACACCGTAATTTGGTGGGTTGTACGGACGTTCAAAGCCAACCATCAATTGGAAGGAGTTTCGGTTCGTCAACTTCCTCGCAAGAAAGCTTGTTGAGGAGAGAAACCCTAATCAGTCTCACCGGGCGTGCCACTTGATGAATTATGAGTCTGCACCGACGTCTACAGTTGATTGAATCGGCGGCCATGGCGGTATCAAAATCCTAAAACCTGCAAAAGAAGGCATCGGGGTCTCCCGAGGGTAGACACTCCGATGCTTAAGTCAGTAAGAGTATTCGTAATAAGAGTATGAATGGTGATGCGTCGAGCGTCCCTTTAATGTGAGGGGTTGATCCCTATGTATAGAGTTAGGGTTACCTGTTTGTGAAACCCTTTTCTTGGTAGGAAAGTAATTAGCAACCGCCCTAAAAACTTCCAGGGGTTGGTTGAACCGATTGCCGAACTTGGACCGGCCTAGTCATGGGCCGTATCAATCTGGACTCGTCAGGTTGCAAATTGTAATTATAGACTTATTGTAGTCAACCATGCGGTTGAAAGGCTCAAAAGGCTTTATAAAAAAAGCCCATCGTTTTCTTTGGTAGGATTATATACATATAAAAATGAGGTTCATGAAGTTATGATAAAAAGTCCATATCCTGACTTTATCTTGTACAGCTACCACTGACTTTTCAACATTTGTTTTTGTTTTTTTTTGGCAAGCTGCAGCTTCCTCTTTCAGCACCGGCCTCCAAAGAACCAAATTAGTGGATTTTAATATCATTATTATCTGTGTGCTATTTTTACTTCTATAACAAAGGCTTTTTCTTTTCTTCCAAAATAAAAAGTCACCTTCGTCAATAAGTATTATATTTATCATTGAAACTGACTCCCTTTCTTGGGACCGAATGTTTGTTGATGACATTTTTTCAGGGCGTTTTTGTTTTATATATATGATCTCTATTAGAAAAGAGTCCATCCCACGGAGATGTTCCAAAATAGACTGCGTCTCACTACATAACTATGCACACAACCAAGTATCAAGCCAAAAAAAAAAAAGATAACACTTCACTCACAGATCGTTCTAATTATTTAGACAATAATTACTGAAATTAACTGATTACATAATCTAATCATCCTGATATACGCTTTGTACGGTCCGCGGTTGGTTACTTCAACTGCTATTTCAACTTAAACACCTCCCCCGAACCAAAATGTTGCTTGTTAATTAACATTCATAAAAACATCGAAATCAAAGTGAAATAACAGGAAATTCCAACAGCTTAAATATGCTTGCATACGGTTAAGGCATACCATTAGAATGATATATAGAAAAAGGAGGAAAGAAATTGTTTGCTCAGAGTTTAGACGATTCTGTAATGCATTATGACAACAATTGGGTAAAAGAAACTGAACAGACTATGAACAGAAATTGAACAGACGTCGACGGAGAGGAAGTAAGAACAGTTTTAGAATCCGGTCACTTAACGTCAACGTCGTCAAGCCCCGAGGGTAGACTTTGTGTAACTGAAGTCGTTACTAAAGCGGGGCCCGTTTCTGTATGGTTTCGTGGAAGTGGTGGTTAAACTTTTTAGTATCCTTTTTTTTTTCTTTTCTTTTCTTTTTCTCGACAAAAGAAAAACTTTGATAGCGAGTGTCATTTCTCACGACGTTATAGCGATTCTCGATTTGAAATTTTGCACGACTTCTATTAAAAAAAAAAAAAATTATATGTTGATGGGCTTTTGCATAACCCGGCGGTAGATGGACTATGGGCTTTTTCCTCCTTAAAGTTTCTAGTAATGGGCTTTTGGGCTTTTCATAACCCGACTAGGCGGCCTTCCTCTTTCTTGAGTTTTTTTTTTTTTAATTTTATTTTGATTTTCTTCAGTCTTTCATCTCCGTCGATGCCGCCGACAACCCAGACTTGCCCTCTGTCACCGCCAATTATAAACTTAGCACTGGGATTCTAGATTATGATGACTTGTAGGATTAGTTCAGTTTGCACCCAGAAAAACAATACAAAAAACAACTCAAAAAGAACCAGCAAAAAAACCCAAAGAAAAAAAAAATTAAATGTTGAAAGAGGGCCCAACCGGGTTCGAACCGGTGACCTCTCGATCTGCAGTCGAATGCTCTACCACTGAGCTATAGGCCCCTCAGTGATATTATACCTGGTGAAACAATATATATACCATAGTTGTGCAAGCAATTTTTTTGTTTTTTTTTTTTTTGTTTTTTGAAATGGGCAAGCATTTCTCATAAACGAAAATACTACTAGTTTTCAATATCCTGGAGATTTGATGCACGTGTCAATTTTGGACCCTCCACCAAAAAGAAAAAAAAAAAAAAGACTGATTAGTGAGGGAGTGGATCAAAGTCATTAGATAGGCATGTCAAATTGTCAATCCCTGTGTGAAAGCCACTAAAAATGCCAATTCGACAAATTGGAGGTTGGAACAAACCATTATTGTTACGTAAAGAAACAGCTGCCCTTTTTTGTTGGTTCGCAACCAAAATAATATTAAGTTGAATCAATGAAACTGGACTTTTTAGGCGTTGATTTGGTCATCCCATCCCAAACTTTGCCAAGTAACACCACCACCAATTACCATCATCCATCAAAATTCTCACTAATCTTGTCACAGTCGCTAATCCCCAATGGTGGGGTGGAAGAAAAATCGAATTATTTACTAAAATCATTTTCGATTTATAAATATCTAATTTTCCCAGTAGCGTATGAGTAATGTTATAAATAGTAGTACTTATTAAGGTCTCAATAATTACTGAAGAAGTATGAATTATAATAAGGCTTCGTTTGGTGAAGTAAATTGGGTATAGTAAGATTTGCAATTTACATAAGCTCTTAACGACCTGTATAAGAGACTTGTGAGGATATTAACAATGATCATGAAACGCATACACACTTAACATATTTTTCGTGATAGAGCATAATAACGGTAAAATGTCCAAGCAAATGGCACGTCTTCTTCAGCTGGTTGGATATGAATGCAGCTGTATAATTTTGTCCATATAGCCTCGAGGAAACAGTACAATAGAAATTATAGTTGGTAGCACTACAGTCACAAGTTCAAGTCCAAGTATCCATACTTGGATAGTTGGATTGCTTCTGAATCTGACCTAAATTGCATTCTCAACCACTATTACCGAACACACCAAATGCACTATAAATATAATCTTTTCTTTCTTGCTTTCTTATTTTATTTACTCTTTATCTAATCTTGATTACACATCTGCAACATACCACGTTACAAAAAGGACATTTTACCATCTTGAAAAAACTCTCACCAATACCAGAGAGAACAGAAAACAAAAGGACAAAAGGCTTTTCTTTCTTTAGTACATAGGTATATATATCTATACACAAATCTCTTCTTTGACCAGGCTTCACCTTCATAATGTAGGGCACAACTATACTTACTAACATTACTCTCCTTGATCTTTACTACTCTTTCTTCTTCACTTTAAAGGTAGAGGAAGGATCTCATTTGATGATGAGGCTGTTTGTTTTCCAGGGTTAGACTTTAGGCATCACTTGAGTCAAAAATGTCCAGGAGAGAGAGGGCCTGCAACAGATAAGAACAAACAATTTAATCCAGGTTGACAAGTTATTGAATCATTCAGAACAAGGAAGTTTTGCCAATAATTTCATGAATAGTACCTCAGGAACATTTAATTCGAGGCGGAATTTTGGACCGTCATAATGGTGGAGAATTGGCCTAAAAGAATCTTCCTCCAGTGGCTCACAGATTTTCCGAGTCAGCACACGAACCTAAACACAAATCAGAAAAAATAGATTAAGCAAACATTTCGAGTTCCTCATGTCATAATGGTACTTTTGAGAAGCAAACCCATATGTGAGACTTTTGAGAAGCAAAACGGTACCTTCCTATGCTATCTCACTACTATAAGAGATTAAGTGGAAGCTAATCCATGATGTAATGAAAATAGTGGGACACGAGACTGCATTAATACATACCTGGGCAGGAAATCGGGATTCACCAGGGTTCTTTTTGTCCTCCCAGGCTGAAGGGTCAATATTAGTTCCACCAAAGCTTGCGGCCTGCAAAGTTAAATCAGCAAGGTCAAAAACATGTTCTGGAAGTAGGCCAACCACTGCCAACAAGAAACAAGGTAAACCAAGACAACCACATAACTACTTGGAAAATATACTTAATAAAGAGCCAGATCCTAGGATAATATATATTTTTGCCCAAGGACGCTCAAAGCCCAAAAGTTTTCAGGATGTATCAACATTTAGAAAAAGATCTCCAAGCCTAAATTAAAGGAAGGAAAGATCCGCACCTCGAAAACTCCATGGAGTTGGTGGGTGGAATAGTTGTAGAGGAACAGAGGTAATCCTGGAGTGATTGCCCGGACTGAATCTCGGTATCGGGGAGGCAAGCCTGAAAGACAATTGCAGCAACACAAAGATCAGGGGGGATGAACTATTAAGATAAAAGACCACATCAGTTGGAAGAAAATTAAGAACTAGATCATAGCTGATAAAACCATTTAAAAGGGGGAAATAAAAAAAGGAGACAAGACCTAATAATCTCACAAATATTTCTTTTCTAATCGGTTCCTTTTTCTTCCAATTAAGAAAGGCCAACCCTATGGTAAAATGATTCTCAACTAGTACTAAAGTTTCAATTTGTTCAAACTAGGATGATACCCCCAAATACAAATTGAAAGCACAAGTATCATGGTAACTTCCTATGCAAAATACTATGCATCTGGATGTGAAAGTCCCAAGTAGTGCTTTTTAGTTCTTATGGCTGAAATCAGATCTCTGAGCAGTTGAACATATCATTTAACCAAACTGCAGTAATCTCTGTTAAATAAATGTACACTTGTTCAACTTTATCAAAGCTGCACGCACCTTATCCAAAATTAAGCATTCTAATGGGCAGGATCACAACCTATTCCGAGAGTTTCATACTCAAGTATATAAACAAACACTCGAGATCAAGTAATTTACTGATCAATTTACCATACTAACTGCTGATAACAAATAAAACTACTCTAAGTAAACCATATCCTACAAACACAATTAGCCAAAACCAAAATTAACACACAAAGGAGACCTCTAACCTCTGGAAAATTACATAAATAGTAATAGCACAAAACTGGAAATCTAAACAGAAAGGAAAGAAGATTTAAAAAATTGCTTACCAAAGAGTTGTCTTTTGAGATTCTCTTGCATAGTATCATTATTGCAGACGAAAATATATCCACCAATAGTTTCATTTCTGGGCAACGCCTCAGATGGTGGCAAAGTCTTGAACCTCTTATCCAGAGAGTTTTTTCCTTCATTATTGTTGTTATTACTCTCCTTAGTATTCTCCTTCTGATTCTTGTTGTTCTTCTTCCCACTCTTTCCAACATGCACCATCCCAAGCTCATCAGAATTATTGAAGTCGACAATCCCTTTACCACCCTTCCCAAAATACAGCCCTCCTTTCCCATTAAGCCCAACATTATTATTATTATATCCCTTACTATAATTGAAATTCATAGAAGGGCTGGAAGAATAGATTCCTTTGTTGAATCCACCGTTTAAATTAACACCGCCGACAGTATTATTATCCATCACAGCATTCTTAGCAGCAGGAGAAACAACCCCAAAAGATCCAAGCCCAGTATCGTAATCGTTGACGTTAGTCCTGTAGCTAAGTTTATTCCATCCATCGTTGTTGTACCCATTAAGATTAAAATCAGACTTCAAGTTGCTACCTTGATTAGCTGAATTGACTTCACCGCCGACTGTGATATCAAAATTCCTCCTTTCCCCAGCCCTTTTGGAAGCCACATAAGAATTGCTCCAAATCGAATCGTTCAGAGAGAGATTAGCCAAGTTGTTACTCTGCAAACGAAGCTGGTCACTGAATTGCCAGAAGGATGACTGATTGTTCTCCATATTGACCTAAACACAGAACAAAAGATGCGATTTTTCTACAATATTTATAGGGTTTAACCCAGTATAACCTATATAACCCGCAAAAATATGGGATTTATACTGTATTTGAACTGGAGGGTTATGAAGGGTTTGATCAAAAACAGCCAAAAAAAAAAAAGATAGAATTTTTACAGTAACCGGACGGTTGTGAAGGGTTCGATCTGAAAAAGAGTTAAGTTATGAAAGGGAAGAAGAAAATGGGAGAGGTGGGATGTAATATAAAAGCGGTGTGGTTGAGAGTGGGAGAGAAAGTTCTTGGAAAGTACATAAAAGAGGTGGGATGGCGTGTATACTTGTCAAAGCACTGTGTGTGTGTGTGTGTGTGTGTGGAATTTTCTGCTTTTTTCTTTCTTTTTCCCCCTTTTCTTTTCCTGTTTTTCGAAGAGTGATCTGGTGTAGTAGTGTTGTTGAAAAACACTTCTAGATGGGCATTAAGTTTAAGAGTTAAGAAAAAGGAAAAAAAAAAAAAAAAACAGTTTTGTGGGGGGAGTATATACAGAAATTAATGGATTAAATGTTCACCTAATTATATTGGTGAATTCAGATTTGATCAAATTTATTTTGGAGGAAGTTCAAATTCCAGGAGTTCTTTAAATACGAATAATAGAAAAAAAAATATGAAAACTTAATATGTTTACAAATAACAAAAAATAAATTTCCACCGAACAAAATTGTAAAAGGAGTTATTAATTTATAACTCTGTAAACTATGAAATGATTATTGAAAAAAATCTAAAATCTTTTTGGAATTACGAAATATAAATTTTAAAATGAGAAGTGGGATGAAAATAATGAGTAGGAATAAATCTTGATCTAAAACCGTGGATAATAATAAAAATACTTGAATGTTTCGATTGTTAATACGTGGATAATCTAATGGGAAAAACTTCATAAATAACTCTTTAGAGGGAAAAAAAAAAAAAAACAACATATTTGTCTGATATTGGGAAAATTCTATGTATATTTCAATCCACCATAACAATGACATCACACCCCGCGGTGGAGGTGGGGCCACATTGGGGAGCTGATGACGGGGAGAAAACGCGGTTAAGGAAGTGATATGGACAGTGGACTGAATCCTGAAAATTATTCAAAAAAAAAAAAATCCTGAAAAATAAAAACAATTTATTTAAGTTTGTGGGCTTTTTCGGATTTATCATTTTGCCAAAAATTTTTCGCCGTGTTGCAATTTGAACGAAAAGGATGATGATGGGAAATGGGATTATCTAGAAGGTCTTGCTTATCAGTTATTATCAGAAAGTAGTAGGAATGAGTAGGAGTAGACTTAGTAAGGGTTGTGAATTGAATTCAAAGGCATATAAATGGTATGTAATTTAGTACAAATTTCCACATTTTGAATGGTTTATTTCTATTTTTTTTTGGCGTTTGATGTGGTTGCCTTTACTTAGTTGCTACGGTATGCACTAAGAAGCACACTGTGTTCAATTTTTGTATGTCCATTTTGTCAAATTTTGTGACTTGCTATTAGGCTAGTAAAATGACACCTGTATTTATTTGGTTTTTTGGTTATGGTTAGCTAGCTATCTCTCATTGTCTCAACTTTTGACAAACACTTCCCCCGTTTTCGACTTACACTTACTTAGGTCATCAGTGACTAAACTAAACATGTATGGTCTCAGATTAATGAAATGATTTGATCTTTTCTGGAAGAAGAATTAGTAGAGTTCATCGTCTCGTCAGATATTGATTCGTGTTCTTCGTGTTTACATATTTGATCTTCTCTCGTTCTTACTTTAATAATTTATTATACAAGATAAAAGAATATTACAAAATGAGTGATAAAATAAATGAATATTTTTTAAAATTTGTTAAGCAAGTGTATATAATCTAAAATTCGATCGAGATCAAACTTGAGCACGTATCAAATCACATTTGTTATTAAAAGCAGGGTAACCATTGCATTCAGATGATGCCTGATGCCATGCCGGAGCGCTTACACCCTAAGTTATTCGTCTTCATTTTATTCCCATTATTATAACGATTAACTAAGTATTATTTTTGAGTATCAATAATGAAACAAGAACTTTCAAATTGTAAGGTGAAAAATAAGATTATTTAATCATTAATTTCAATTGGTCAATACCCTTACTAAAAGAAAATCCGGCCGGTTCCACGCTGACCCCCTAATTCCCTCCACGTGAACATTCCTAACTCTAAGTTACTTTTTTTACCATTATTCGGTGCAGCTGTTATACTACCTAAGATTGTGCAAACATAATAATAGGGTAAAGTAGTAATTTTGGAGAGAGAGATAATTTCTGCGAGAATTATACTACCAAAATAAGGAGTGTTAGTACTTGCTGCACTAAAAACTAAAATACAGCAGTTGTATCTAATAATTTAAGAATTCTCAACGTACTTTTTTGCTTCCTTTTCTTTTGGATTGCGTTGTATCTCCACGTGTTATATGAATTACATTTCCATAATGATACATTCTTAACAAGTAGTGGGCTCCCGTGATCGTAGGAAATTAAGGTTTGATGGAACCACGAACCACTATCTCCACCCTTTTCCCAAACCCAAATTGCCACCACAATTTTGCACTCAAATAAGCCCACGTCATTAGTTTCATTCGTATCAAGTGTAGAACTTAAAAGGGATCGAGTAGGATGCTCATTGGGCAATTAAACCTTTGTACGATACTGTTAATTATCAAAATCAAAAGGCTAATCATAAACTTCTTTTTATGCAAATAGCAATCAACGCCGATATAATCGGTTAAGAGGAAATAACCAAAGGCTCCTTTTAAACTACTGTGGTATGTTTTCTATGAATCGATAATGAAGAAACATTGAAAATTGGAAGGGGGGGAATTTTTTTGGAAAACCCCTCCACCAAGCAGACCCAAGATGATGAATTTTAGTTCTTTGATGGTGGGAGTGTACATTGTTCGGGCTCATTCTTAAGGGCCTTCCTAGTTCTTTGGTGTTTGTTCTTTTGGGCTCAAAGGGAAAAAAAAAGGAGAGAAATTCAACGTGTATTCAATGAACAATACATCATGATATGAATCTTGTGTTCTAATTTCTAAATTATGAATGAACAACACATATTATCATATTGACAAAGGTGTTGAAATTTATAGATAAACTATGTAGTAACTATTTTATGAGACAAAAAGATAATATTTGTTTTGCGAGATTAGTGAATGTTCGCAAATTGCCTTCACCATATAGCACCCTAAGCAAAAAAAAAAAAAAAAGAGCAAAAAAAAGATCATAGATCCTAACAGCAAAAAATATTTTGTGATATTTTTGTATTACACATTCGTGATACAACTTAAATAAACGACAAGCGTATAATTATTTGCCCAAATGGATTTCTTACATTTGATTAGGATTTTAATGTTACTGTTAAGATAATGATATATGTCAAACATTTAACTATTAATGTTCGGAATGGGAAAGTATAAGGGGACACATATAAGAAAGAAATGATAATCTCTCTGTCTCAAAATAATTATATAGTTAAGCTTACTTTTAGTATAAAATTAAATTAAAAATAAAAATTCAGACTGAACAATTATTTTGGGACGGAGAAACTACATGTTTACAATATATATATATATATAACTTTTATTCTTTTTTTTTTTTGTTGGTCGAACACGATAATCATATATAAAGAAAAAAAAACAACAACAACTAAAAGAATTGGACCACCAACATTTATAGTTGAGATATTATTGTCTTATATACTCGCTATATCTAGTGGTAATAGAAGAGATATAATTCGAATGTGAGCATAATCCGTATGAATTTATTATAGCAACTCAGGCCGAATTATCAGTTACGCATTGACTGGCAGCAGCTCAATTTTGGTGTGACCACCGAAGATAACTCATTCAATTCAATTCAAACCCCCAAGAAAGAAAATTATGGTAGCAAAAGAATAGTTAGTTTGGAAGTAGTTTAACTGTATCTTGGAAACGTGAGCTTTGTGCAAATCTTCACGTAGGCAAACTAAACAAAATTCTACTTCGATGAGTTTTGCAACATTCATTTTTTGGGCAGTAATCGTCAACTCTGTTTTGTAGTGGAAATGTGGCATTAGTCAGGCGGAAAACTCGAACCAAATTTAGTGCCTTTCAAGGCTACATTTGTACAAGAAAGACAAACTTATTAGTAGTAGTATTTGTATTAATTCCGTGCTGGTCTTTGGTAATTCCTCCCCAAAACTAAGTGGCATTTTATTCAGTTTTCAGTCTGTTTTTTTTTTTTGTCCATTACTTCGTTTCCTTCATTGGTAGCTATATAATATAAGCATCGTCGCTCATTGCGACTGTAAAGGAAGAAGAGTGATTTTCCTTCTTCTCCTTCTTCTTCTTTTCGAATTTTTTTGGGTTTTGATTTAGGAAAAGAAATGGCTAGCATTCCGGGTACATGTTTATCTGGTTCGATTAATTTGAAGTGTAAAGATTCAAGAACGAACGGGGCGTCGTTGATGCAGTATAATGGGCTGAAAGCTGTTGATAGCGTCAAATTAGACTCCAATAGACAAAAGGGATTTGCTTTAAAATCAGGTATGATTGAACATTCTTGCACTTAGTAGAAAAACATTTGAGCTGGTTATCAGGTTAGCTAAACAGCCATTTACTCAATGCAGCGTCAAAAAGCAGAGGACCAGGAATCAGAGCAATGGCTTCTCCTACGGTTTCGGCTCCGAAAAGAGAAACCGACCCGAAGAAGAGAGTGGTGATAACGGGGATGGGCCTGGTTTCGGTTTTTGGGAGTGACATTGATGTGTTCTACAATAAACTCCTTGAAGGAGAGAGTGGGATCACTTTGATTGACAGGTTTGATGCTAAGGATTTCACGGTGAGATTCGCAGGGCAAATCCGAAATTTCACTTCCACGGGATACATTGACGGGAAGAACGACCGCCGGCTGGATGATTGCTGGAGGTATTGCTTAGTCGCCGGCAAAAAGGCTCTTGATGATGCCAACCTCGGCCAACAAGTCCTCGAACAGGTGACCAAACTAAAGCAAATCATTTATTAGTTCATATGCATGGTTTAGTTCTTTTTACTCCCCATGCTAAAATTTTTGTCCATTTTGGATTTTCACTTTCAGTTCAATTTATACTGAAAATAAAAATTAAAATTAGACAATAATTTTAGAACGGATTTTTTTTCCGTATTAGCATTTAATTAAAAAAATGTAACTTATTGGCATAATCTTTTGTTTTATGTGTCTCAAAATTATTATCCAGATTGAATTTTATTTTTAGTACAATTTAAACTAAAAATAAAAATTCAAACTGGACAATAATTTCAGAACAAAGAAAGTACATTTTATCACACTTATTTTGTCTGAAAAGAAAATTTTTTCGTAAAGTTGCGTTGTTAAGGGTGATAATTTAAAAGATTGGAGTTATGGGGTTACTGATTTTAAAGTCCTTATATTTGGACATGCTAAATTGCCAGTGGTTGGAAGTTTGTAATCTAGGAAGGGATGCTATTTTTGTTGGTAATAGTTCTGCCGAGTGTCTTGTGGCTTCATCCTTTCCAGATGTGATTAAGTTTAACTGTATTTAGTTTACAGACAATAGTTTCCAAGTCTACCGTTATCATCATAGAGTAGGATGGGGAAGCCGGAGGTTTGGTTTAGAGGGCGGGAAAGACATTGGAATTTTTAACTTTAATACAGGAAATATTGATCGGTTCATTGACCTCAAGTCTTTTGTATGTTCACCAGTTTGGATATCATTCTAATGTAAATTATTGATTTTTCATTTTAATTTGGCATAACTTTATATTCTATTGGTCCAGATGTTTTCATCATTGTGTGTAGATGTGTTTTCTCCAATTTGTAATACTAATATTATGTCTTGTTAATTCTGAAGGATTTGCTTTTGTTTTGTGCATAATTCTTGAGGCGGATTTCATCTTTAGCTCTTTTTCGGAAAGTCATTGTTTCCATATGGTGGTCCAAACTGTTTAGTAATAAATATTCCCTTTGTCCCAAAATTATTGTGCAGTTTGAGATTTCACTTTTAGTACAATTTGAACTGAAAATAAAAACTCAAACTGGACAATAATAATGGGACGGAGGAAGTAAAAAAACAGTGAAAAATTGTTGTTTTGAGCGTTTCAGTCCGGAAATGATTCTAACTGCGCACCTAATCTGAGTCATCATCAGTTTCATCCTGGATTGGATTTCATGTATAAATATGCATTCATTAATCTCATGTATACTTCAAGACTTTTTGACTATCAGAAAAAAATGTAAAGATGAAAAATGGTTTTGTTGGTTGTGTTTCAGATGGACAGAACAAGAATTGGAGTGCTCGTAGGAACTGGAATGGGAGGCTTAACAGCATTCAGCTCTGGAGTGGAGTCTCTGATTCTAAAGGGATACAAGAAAATCACTCCATTTTTCATCCCTTATTCCATCACCAACATGGGCTCGGCTCTCTTGGCTATAGACACCGGCTTGATGGGTCCTAATTACTCCATTTCCACAGCTTGTGCCACCGCAAATTACTGCTTCTATGCGGCTGCGAACCACATCAGGAGGGGCGAAGCCGAAATCATGGTTGCCGGAGGGACAGAAGCTGCTGTGACGGCTACTGGAGTCGGAGGATTCATCGCTTGCCGGGCTTTGTCTCAGAGGAATGATGAACCTGGAAAGGCTTCAAGGCCGTGGGATAAAGATCGCGATGGTTTCGTCATGGGCGAAGGCTCTGGTGTTTTGGTATGTACATTTTTTCCCTCCGTCCCCAAAAGAAGAGTCGTGTTTGTTTGGAATACTAATTCTATTAGGTGATTAAATTTGAAAGAACAGATTATGGAAAGTTTAGAGCATGCAATGAACAGAGGAGCCAATATCATAGCAGAATACTTGGGTGGTGCAGTTACTTGTGATGCTCATCACATGACAGATCCTAGATCAGATGGACTTGGAGTTTCATCTTGCATAACAAAGAGCTTAGAAGATGCTGGTGTTTCTCCTGAAGAGGTAATATCTTGAGGTCTTATGTAATTTAATTTGCCATATCAAGGTTACAAATTTTCTGCAAAGTGATTAAAAGGTTTTACAAAAAACAGGTGAATTATGTGAATGCTCATGCGACATCAACACTGGCTGGAGATTTAGCAGAAGTGAATGCCATCAAGAAGGTGTTTAAAGATACTTCAGAGATCAAGATGAATGGTACAAAGGTAAAGGATCAAGAAAATTTATTAGTCAGTTGATTAGAATTGCAAGCCTAAATTAATCGTATTGGAGAAAAATCCATGAAATTTTGGTTAAATTTGTGGAAATGCAGTCACTGATTGGACATGGACTTGGAGCTGCGGGAGGTCTAGAAGCCATAGCAACCATTAAAGCAATCAACACTGGCTGGCTACATCCCACAATTAATCAATACGTACTTTGCTACAAAACTCATCCACTCCTTTCCATTTTTTTTTTTTTTTGGATTACTAAACAGATTTACTTGAGAAGATTAGAACTCTAAAGCTAACAACATTTCCTCTGTAACTTCTGTAGAACTTGGAGCCAGATGTTACCATTGACACTGTCCCAAATGTGAAGAAACACCATGAAGTTAACGTTGGTAAGAAACGACATCAAGCCATTTTATAGTAATTATCATTCTGACGTTTGGAGGGTTAAATTTCAATTGACTCGCAAATGATCTTTTGTGCAGCAATCTCTAACTCATTTGGGTTTGGAGGGCACAACTCGGTGGTTGTTTTTGCACCCTTCAAGCCTTGATGAGGATGAAGTTCCCCATTCAACAGAAGCAGGACACATTCTGTTCCTCCTCAATCTAATTAAGCACTTTTCTTCCTCCTCGTAGAAGTCTTTTTTTTGGCTCCAGACAAAGTAAATTTGATCGAAACATTTGTGAAGTTGAATGATATTTTTGACGTTCAAGGATCCGTGACAGTGCATATTCTAGAGAGTTTTTAATTGAAAGAAACAAAATGGCCATTTCTCAATTTTCCTCTCACTCATTATCATCATGTGCAGTAGATCATAAAATTGAGTTCTGTATCATCACTGCTGAATAAAATTATGAAAGCCCTTTTTTGGAATTTGGTCTGTGTCTTATAAACTGTGTATTTCTTTTTTTCGTTACCGTTAGAATTTTTTTTAAGCTTTAACCTACAAGTTTATCAAAGCATACCTAGTGGAATCATCAAGCCGTGAGTTATTGATTATCATTCGGAAGGAGGAGGGTCGTCGAGTCATTCGATTGGATGTGAGAAAATGCCAGTGGGAGGAGATCACTAGTTTGGGAAGAGATGCTGTTTTTGTTGGTCATGGTGCTTCAATGTCCGTTGTGGTATATATATATATATTGTTTCACAAATAATCGGAGTTCAATCTAAAGTTGAGTATCTAAAATAGCCAAAGTTATTACTAAAAAATGCGGGTACAGCGCTTTGTGTAATGAGTTTAACTACGTTAAAGGCGACAACAACGTTCAAACTCTCTATTTCGGTATGCCTCATGGCCCTCATCGCCATGTAGGATTTTTTTTTTTTTTTTTACAGATTCAAAAGTGAGTTTTGCATCTCTTCTATAAATAAATAAATGAATTGGAATGCCCTTGTGGATGTCTCATCCTTTCTTGTTCGCGTCGGGATGTATTACTCTTCAGATCTTGGGTATGGTAAATGAAAACTAGCTTGAAAAGATTAAGCTTGTTATTACTACCTAGAAGTTGTATTACTTCTTTTCCTTCTGAAATGATTGTCTAATTTAAATTTTTATTTTTAATTAGTTTAAATTATACTTAAAAGTTAAAAATTTAAACTAATTAATCATTCTGGGAGAATGCTAACATTCTCTCTTCTAATTAAGTGTTAGCATTGAGAAGTTGCAGACATGATTTCCTTTTTCAATCGTGGAGCAGCAGGCGTTAATGTTCCTGTATCATCATCATCGCAAAAAAAAAAATTTTTGATAGCCCTTTTGAAACTAGAATGGGCGTTGCATTTCTATTTTTATTCATGTCCGGATATATGCAACTTTAATCATCGCGAGAGTAAACTCACATAATAACATTGAATTCCTAGTTCCTTACCAAAATGTAATATACTATTTTATAACTAATTAAATGAAAAATGTTTTACATTATACACATTTCGAAGGATTTCTCCGTACCTTTAGAGTTGTAGGCTTGTAACTGTACGTTTGACTTGGTGGTTCCAAATGCACTTAATCATCATCAGTGTCTTCCATCAATCTTGAGGTGTCTGTCCGGGCCATAAACAATTGAAACTGTCAAATTGCAAGTTTAGGACGATTTAAAAAATTAATAGCATTGCTCCTTTGTTTCAGTTGGGATGGACAGATCAAGAATTTGAGTGTTGGTAACTGAAATGGAAGGGTCAACAGCATATAGATGTGGAGTTGAGTCTCTAATTCTAAAGGGATACAAGAATTTCACCCCATCTTTTTGGTCCCTTATTCCATCACCAACATGGGCTCAGCTATTGCAGCTAAATGTTGTGTCGCAGTGAGTCGCACTCTGTTCTGGTGTCATCTCCAGTCAGAAGAAGACATTTTTTTTTCTTTTGGCTCGAGACCTAGTAATTAATTTAATTTGATCGATCACATATTGCACCGTCTAATGAGTTTAGGTTAAAGGTGACAACAAAGTTCAAATTCTCAGTCTTAAGAAAACAAAACAAAGGTTAAATTTCTCAATTTTCCTCACTCATTATCATCACTAGTATGTTTATGGTGCGTTGCACGGATTTTTGAATATTTAATGTTTAAGTTCAAATATTTTTTGGGGACAAAGAAAATTCATTTATCTGGAAAAGACAAATTTGTTATGACATTAATTAATCGTACTTTTCCAACTAGCTTCCCAAGTTACCAAAAATTTAGATGCCGAATCTTGTCCTAATCTAGATCTAAACTGGGAGTGCATGCTTGCTTAAACTCGTCGAAAGTAGCCAAAATTTGGTTGTGAGGAACCAAGTTAATGTTGGTCATGAACAGGGACTTAATTGTCCAAGCTTTTATAGTACAAGGTCTATTGTGGAATTTCTGTAAAAATGATTTGACCGTATATAGTCAACACACAAGTGTAAACCGGGTTTATGGAGATTTTGGTGATTGAATAATATTCTGGAAAATTCTTTCCTTTCCCTGTCGTTATCCATTCCGCCCCTGAAACCCCTAGTTCTACTGTCAATTCAGTCCAAATCTTGGCCGCAACACCAAGTCCGGCGGCCGGATCTGACAATGTGATACTACTATATATGGGATCTAGGATAGGTCTTTTTGCCCAAGAAACTCAACCGAGCGCTTCGATCTCTTTAGTTTTTCCAATTCATGTTTTGGTTATGTTTCCGGTGAACCATGTTTGTGTCCATAATTAATTCAATGTTGCGCATAACATCATCCCTATACTCTCTGTTAACGTGGCTACTACGTTATTTCTTCGGGGTTCCTCTCCAATCATTGGAACCCATTAGGGATTGGTCGGGCCTAACGGAGGAGATGCTGGCAGAGATAGCAATGCGTATGCCGTCGGTGGAAGATTTCATGGCGTTCAGAGGGGTTTGTACTTCCTGGCGAGCAGCCGCGAGGTTAGATAAGTTTGTCAATTCGCGGTCCGGGTCTAGGGTCCCGTTTCTTATGATTGCGGGTCAACAAGAAAACAATGATGAATACTGTGAATTGTATAGCCTGTCGAGGAGGAGGATCGCGATGAGGTTGAAGCTCCCGGAGGTGAAGGGTAAACGATGCATGGAAGCAGGATTCGGGTGGTTGTTAACGGTTGCGAGTTGTTCGGGTGAGGTTAATTTGTTGAATCCTCTGACTCGTTCTCAAATCCACCTCCCAAACTTACCTGGTTCTGTCGATTGTATATTTATATTGACAGCAGCTCTGTCAGCTAATCCATCCACAACATGCAATTTTGTTTTAATGGCAATTCGCAATGCGGGTCAGTTCCTGGGGTATTGGAAGCCTGGTAACCTGACATGGACCCCGATAAAGACATCAGGGCGTATATTTTCGGATGTTGCTTATTACAATGGCAAGTTTTATGTGCTGGATGCAATTGACGAACTATGGGTATGGGATGATGTCGCGGTTACCCATCTTCACTTGGATAATATTGGTCATGATTTAGTGTTTTCGGCTAAAGAAGCATACCTAGTAGAATCATCAAACGGCGAGTTACTTGTCGTTATTCGGAAGAGTCGTGATGAATTCAGAGTGGTTCGATTGGATGTGAGAAACTGCCAGTGGGAGGAGATGACTAGTTTGGGAAAAGATGCTGTTTTTGTTGGTCACAGCGTTTCCAAGTCCATTGTGGCTTCTGCATTTCCAAGTGGAATTAAGCCCAATTGCATTTATTTTACAGAGGAAGGCATGCAATTCCGATTGTGTTATGAGCTAGCTTCAGCTGGCAGAGGCGGTGAAGACATGGAACTTTATAACCTGATAGTTTCAGGCAGGGGCGGTGAAGACGACATGGGAGTTTATAACCTTGGAGACGGAAATATTGATCGATTCAGGGGCATTACGTCTGTTAGTAATTTTATATGCCCTCCGGTTTGGATATCCTTCTAATATATCTATGCGCAGCGGTTCGGAGGCCGCGAGTTTTTACTACAAATTATTAGAGTTTTTTTTTTATTTTTTTTTTGGCGTGATAGAAACTGACATGAATGGGAGCTAGGCTTAACGGTCAAACAACATTTTGCTCTGAAGTTGAGTCTCTAAATTTGATCGAAACAATGCCAATAGTAGGTTCAGCGCATAGTGTAATGAGTTTAATCAGGTTAAAGGCGACAACTACGTGCAAATTCTTTGTTTTAGTTATTTAGTGGTCTTTCCTTTTTTTTTTTTTTTGGGTTGATAAAACTAGTTTTGCATCTATACTAATGTTCTCTCTTCTAATTAAATGTTGCATTTTAAAATTGTAAGACGTGATTTTCCTTTTTAAGCCTCACTTATTTGCACCATTGTCAGTCAACTCAAATGTGAGTAGCCTGTGCCTTTGGATCTCATTCGGAGGATGATTTATTTTTCCAAATCTTTTCGCTTCTGCTAACCAAAATTGCCGACAGAATGAAAGAAAGATTGTCCTGTTAACTCTCCATCAGGAGCGGCGAGAAACCGTCCATTCAATGAAGCTTTCGCTGCATTTTACATGCTACCGATTTATTAAGAGTTTTACCAAGACTAGAGTGACTTTGGTTATATATATATATATATATATATATATATATATATATATATATATTATATATACTTTATTTTTAAAAAAGATTGTAAGTGAAAAATGCTTTATAATTTTAGTAACATCGTACAATAAACTATGAACATACTTTATAACCGAGTGGGCAATTGTAAGAAATTACTATATATACAATTTTTTGATATATTGTAGGTGATAGGAAATTTTAGAACCTGTGAAAATTGCCAATTGGACTGACCTTTTAGTTCATTTTTCTCGGGCAGTAAACTGTCAACATCTTGCCATCATCGATCATGAAAAACCGGACACACCGAATAGTCGCACCCGAGCATAATTTCTCCTTAGTAATATATTATTCCACCAATAAGGGCGGTCTCAAAAACAAAAATCATATATGTATTTTTCTTTTTTCTTTTGTTTTTTGAGGGAAAATCATATGTATGTTATTTGATTGAATGTTAAACTAATTTCATTTTGTCCTTCTTTGATTGGGCTTCTATGAAAATAATTATGGGCTGCTATCTGATCAGCAACGTTGGCCCAAAACTTGTGAATTTCCTTTTCTTTCGATAGAAGTTCACTTGAGTTTATTTCGAGAAACTATCAAATAAGGTAAAGGTTTTCCATCTTTACAAGGAAAAGACAAAAAAAAAAAAAAAGATCGACAGAATTATTAATTGATTTTCTTTCAATTTAATTATTTGATTTGTTTTTAAGTCTTCGTAATAAATTGTAAAGGGAATATTCAATAACCAAGTGGGAAAAAAAAATCAAAATTAATTTCAATCTCTTACATTGAGAAAATTGTGGGTTGTTTTGACTAAAGACCTATTCAAAGGCCTCACACATCATCAGCATCTTCACCATTCGGCAAGCAAGAACAAATTCACAGCATTCCTGGCTTTCTTTAATAAGAAAAAGAGTCATTTCTCAGCATATTCAATGGACTTTGGCTTTTATGTCTCTTTTTAAATTCATATTGTATCACATTGAAGGTGAGAGGTGTTTGGAAAAGAAGATGCTAAGCCTATATAGTTAGAAAATAGAAAGAAGTGGTGATGGAACATTATATGTATCGAGTAATTATGTGAAATGACATAATAAACAACATGACACGAACAGAAGAGTATAATTGATAATCACATTTTTTTATAAATCGCAACATGGTAAGAATATTTTCGTTCTCCTTCTTTTTTCTTCCTAATGTTACATTATCAATGACAACCAAAAAGGATATGTTGAATTCAAATCACTTAATTAAGAATGGACTTTAAACAAAAACTTATACAAGTCCTATCGAGAATAATTTCCCAATAAGATTAATTCTCCCCTTCAAAAAAAAAAAAAAGAAAAGAAACCCTAAATAAGATTTATTGATTTGCCTATCAGCATTCTTTAATGTGAAGGGGAAAAAAGTATTATCACGTCATCATATACTATATGCTAAATAATTTGGAGCTTGTTACGCTACAAACAACATTGATGACATCACAAGCATAGTTTCTCATATTTTTTAACTGAAAAAATAATAATTCTAAGCTCTGTTGTTATACTTTGTTTTCCTTTTTCGAGATCCAAACCTTTTTCTTTTTTTCTTTTTTTTTTTGGTAGCAAAAAGGCCTAAAAAATAATTAAATTTCACAGCTATGAAAACATTATGGCCCTTAAACATATCTTAATTAAGGACTTTACCAAAAACGTCATCTCTGGCGTCATCATCTACTTCTTCCTTGTGGGTTTGCCTAGAAACACCATGTTTACGGGCCTAATTGGTCCCCTAGGGTAGTAGTAGTTAAACCAATTAGAGAGGTTGTGTTTTATTACTTTAATTATTGATTAATTTAATATAATTAATTTGACAAATTGTAAGAGAATTATTTGCTAATTTTTAGCAACTTGCTGGGCCTAGTTAGGAAAGTCGATGCAACTTGCCAGTCCGAATACTTATTAGTATTATTTTTTTTGGGCGAGGTATTGCCGTATATAGCAACTTGGCAGGCCTAAATTAGTTGATTATATACAGATAATTACTTTGATAAATTTAGCTGGATATGTATATATATATATATATTATAATTTTGTTTCTTCTTTTTTGGGCTCATGTACCAAAGTTTTCTGAACCACTAAAGGCTTTGGGTGTAGAAATTGTAGTCGAATATATCGGGTTAACAAATGATGTTTAGCTGATGTTGACAATTATTCCTTCCGGTCTTAGGGCTTGTTTGATAAAGACACTTAGTGTTTAAAATTATTAGATTAAATATTTTTTTATTTAAACATGTTTGATAACAAAAAATGAATCTCTTAATGAATTAAGTTGTGCTGAAATTACAGTACAAAATATAAGTAATAAAAATTAGTTGAATGCTTACTACGTAACTTTTTAATGAATTCAGTATTTCTTTTTATCAAACAGGCCCTTAATAACCTTGTTTTTTTTTTCCCGATACATGAGAAGAGATAAAAAAAAAAAAAAAGAGACTGAAAAACATAAATAAATATAATTTTATGATAAATCAGCGCAATAACATTGTGTGAAACCATGATCATGTTTTAACCGGGAGATTTTTAGCAGTTTGGCTCTTTCGGATGCTAAAACTGTGGTAAGAATATGGTATATAGGTTAACACATGAGGGTTAATTAGCTGATGTTAACCAATGACGACAAGTGTTTTAAGAAGTTAATTATGTTTCTTTTGAAAGAATTTTAATAGACTTCTATGACACATCTATTTTATTTCCTCTCCTTCAATATAATTGTTATATTCGAGATTTTATCACTAGGGAGGTATCTGCTCTATTCATTTTTTTTTTCAACAATTTATATGACAAATTGAGGCGTACCTTTCTATTTTATGGAGCTTCCAAAATTTCTGGGAGAAAACTAACAATGAAATGAATGTACCATTAGAATTAAAGAACGCAGTGGCATTATAGTACCTATTCTTAATTTTTTAATCTCTCTTTTATTAGTCGCATGCCTATATTTCAATCGCGAAAAATCCAAAGAGCAAAAATGATTCATCCAGTTGTCCTCCAAATGAGGAAAAAAAAAAAAAGGAAGTAGAAGAAGAAAAGAAAATTAAACTTCGAAACTATAGTTGTACTACTATACACCCCCAACAAAAGAAAGTTGTAATATTATATACAATAATCATTACAGTAATTATACATCACTCACAAAGACAAGAAGAGAAAATGATGACAGTCAAATATTATTGAACGTGCGACACTTTTATTTATTTATTAATTCCTTTTGTAAACGTTCGTACATGGATGATATATATTATCCCTGAGTATCATATAGAACTATGAAACAAATTGATACAATTAATTTAAGAAACCAAATCATCTAGATTTACTTTGATATATGTAACAACAGAAGAAACCAAATGCTGACTCTGTACAGACAATTTAATCTTACATCAGCTCGGTAGTTTTGAAAAAGAGCAACGCTGGAAAGGTTCAAATAGATATGGCTAATGTGAATTTTTTTAAAAAAAATTATTGTTTATGTCGTGTTTTGAACTCATATCTATTACTTCCTCTGTCTCAAAATTATTGTCATGTTTGAAATTTCACTTTTAGTATAATTTGAACTAAAAATGAAAACTCAAACTGAATAATAATTATGAGACGGAAGAAGTATTTGATTGCGGTTTGAACGCTGCAAATTGTAGCGTGACTATATATTCTCCCATGATTTTGCTATTTCGTAAACATGCAAAGATTTAGCATCAGATCCAAGTGAATTGCCCCTGATGGAGCTGTATAATCAATTTTGTACGTATGATTTATGATTATACTCAAAAGAAATTTTAAAAATAAAATCGAAAGAGTTGAAGTGTGTTATTCAAATGGTCATTTTGACAAATCCATGATTCAGCTATATTGGAATTGAGTGAATGCTGCACTTATTGTTTGTCCTCTAATCACAATGGTGATTAGTGTACATGTTGATCAATTTGTCTTATGCTATAATTTATCAAGGAGCTTTGACACCAAAAAATTGTCAACCTTTATCTTTTAAGATAAGCTTTTTTAAAGATGTTAATTCTTTCCAAAATAGATTCTTCAACACCTAAATTAAAGAAAAAAGAAATACATTTTCGCATATGTGTGTGCGCGCGCGCGCGCGTTTTACGTTTTCTTCTCCTTCAATACACTCATCAAAATTTGGATCCGGCCTATATAATAATTTGCATTACATCATGTGATAAAGTATATCTCGTAAATCCTAGAAGTCAAATTTACACCATGTAAAAAGGTTAATAAATTTAGATGACTACTCCCTCCATCTCATAAATATTGTCTAATTTAGATTTTAATTTCTAGTTTAAATTGTACTAAAAATGAGATTTCAAACTGGACAATAATTTTGGGACAGATAGAGTATTAGTTTATTACATGTGAATTACCAGCATCACTAAATCCAGCTTCATTATTGGCATTGATCCTATTAACATAGATAGCG